ATAATAATAATAATAATAATAATAATAATAATAATAATAATAATAATAATAATAATAATAATAATAATAATAATAATAATAATAATAATAATAATAATAATAATAATAATAATAATAATAATAATAATAATAATAATAATAATAATAATAATAATAATAATAATAATAATAATAATAATAATAATAATAATAATAATAATAATAATAATACTAATAATAATAATAATAATAATAACAATAATAATAACATTTAATAATAATTAATAATGATAATAATAAACGACAGCAAAAACTACCATTATTATGATAAAAGTTATAGTGAAAGTAATAACGATGTACTATTATTGCTAGTAGTACTTTTTTTTGAGTGACAAAAGATGCGAAAGAAAAGAGAAGAAAGAATCCCTTAAAAATTATTTTTCGTCAACTCAAGGAAAAAAGAGGCTGTATTTAATTTTGAAAAATAATCAGTTGCGAGAGATTTTTCTCCTTTTGTTTTTTTTCTTCCAACAAAATTGATTTTTTACTAAGTAAAAAAGAAAAAAACTTTGCTTAAATTATAACTGCCAATTAATGTTGAACGAATGGAACATCCATTTCTGAACAAAAAAAAAATTTCGTATACGTCAAGTAAATTTCGTCCATTTTTTAGAATTTCTCTTGTCCAGCTTAATATATTTTTTCATCAATCATATAAAAGAACGAGAAAAGAAAAAGAGAAAAAGAAGAAAAGAATTTTGTTTTTAATAGTGATAATAATTCAATGATTATTTTTATCAAAAGTTATGATTTGATAAAAATTGTTAAAATATTTTAAAAACAATTAAATTATGCTACATTACGATAAACATTTAAACAAAAGGCTCACATGCTATTTATAATTAAACAAACATATGTTGGTTAAAAAATTTTTGAAATGAGAAAGATTACATTCTCTTTTATTCATCCTCCTTTTTCTTTTTACATTTCAACACTCTTCTTATTATTTCGTCCCTCTCTCTCTTTCCCTCTCCCCTCTTTCTCTCCCTCTCTCTCTCCCTTTCTTACTTATTACAGCATTAATTTGCATTGATTTTAAAATGGAATTAAAAATGAAACTTACCTCAGAAATTTGTTATTGCTATTACCAGAACAAATTGTTCATATTTTGAAAATCAATTAAGTGGAAAAAAAGTAATAAGTAAGTTTATCAATTTATTAATATTTTCCAATAAAAATTTTATCAACTTATTATAAATTTTATTTATTAACTTTGATTTTTAAAGTAATTTAATTAGTTCTATAAATTTATCATCATTTTTTGATGGAGACTTTATCAACTTATCAGTATTTCCTTTCCATTAATTTGGAAATAATTTGTCAGACAATTTCACTAATTTAAAGATAGTTTTTGAAACAATAAGACTGGGAGAATTTCTGAGGCTATTTTAGAGCTGGCAAATTTCTTCTTGTTCATTTAGCGATATTTATTCGAAATTTTTATTCATGATTTTTATTCACAATTCATTTAGTAATTCTAAATAAATTTTGTAATAATTTTTATGACTTTCTTGATTTGAAAGTATTTTTTAAAATAATTTCATTAGTTTAAAGATGACTCCGAAAGGTAATCTTTGCAAAGCCAATGTTAATGTTATAAAATAAAACAAAAGGATCAGAAGATGACAGAGGAAGACAATAACGATTATGATCTAAAAAATTTATTTTTAATGTAATGATTTGCTTTGGTAAAAATTAATATTTAAGAGAAGGAATGATTAATTACAACACATTTATTCTTGCAATTTCTATTTTCAATAATTAAATTATAACCGGATTTTTTCATTAATTACGGCTATCGAAGGAAATATACTGTATGTAGCTCGAATCACTTTTTTTTTTCAGTTATTTCCATCGTTTAATTTTTATTTGTTTCACTTCATTGAAGTATATGGAAGTAAACATCACGAAATGGTTTTTTTTCTTTGTCTTTTTCTAAAGGAAAACATTTAATTAGTAATTAAAGAGGAAACACCAAATTTTAAGGCACATAGAAGAAAGGAAATAATAAATTCTAATTAATACCAAAATTTTCAGGTAATGAAACTTGTTGAACTAATAGTTTTAACTAAAAATAAATATTGCCCAAAATATCTGAATTAAAAAATTGAATCAAATATTAAGTAAAATTAGAATCGAAAAAAAAGAACGGGATTGATTTAATATTTTAAATTGAATAATTATGAAAATGTGAATAGTATCAATTTCAAAATTCTCATGCATTCATTTAATTCACAGGAAATAGAAATAATTTAAGAAATTTTTTCATAATATATGATCGCAATTTCTTTTTTAATAACATGAAGATTTCGGTATGTTGTTGTTGTTGTTGTTGTTGTTGTTGTCGTTGTTCTTTTTGTTGTTGTTGTTGTTGGTGGTGTTGTTGTTCTTGTTGTTCTTTGGTTACAGTAAGTGCCGTTTGGCCAATATTGTCAACAATTCCGGATAACTTATGCGGTCTTCGTTTGATAGTATTACGATAGAATGGAAGATGATTACATAGTGTCATATTATGATGTCCTTTTCGCAAAAAACACAACGAGTTATAACGACACTTTCCCTCACAAACAATATTATCGCGGCGATTACTGTTCCTGTAATTCAAAGAAAAAAAAAGTAAAAATGGAAAATTTAAATCAGATCTCAAAAAAAAGAATTACAAATTTGATTTCACTAACTTTCTTTTTAATTGTAAATTTGAACAAAAAATTACGTCGAAATTAATAAATTACTAAAATTAACAATTCACGAAAGATAACGAAATTAAAATTAACAAATCATGAAAAGTAAACAAATTGATATTTTTCTTTTTTTTTCTTGTTTGGTGAAATAAGTGAACAAATATACAAATAAGTGATTGATAAAATGCTAAGATTGAAAATGTCATAACATTAAATTTACTTTGAAACAATTCATCGAATAAATTTGAATTAAAATAATTTTCCATGTTTTAAGCAACTTAAGTAAATTTGAGTTAATTTAAAACTAAAATTAAATAAATTTGGAATGAAATGATTTTCTATTTCCTTCTACTGTAGATGTATTATTAGTTATAAAAACAATAACATTTATATTTCATTAGAAAATGATTGGATAAATCAATCGAAATATGTCAATTATAAGGCTAATATCGGCGAAATGCTATTGAAAAGATGGTTATCATACCTGATAAATCTATTATAGGCTGATTTTTCGTAAATAATTTTATTGATTAAATGATCCCAGCTTGTTGGACTTAAATCATTTAAACCATATTCTTCCTAAAAGTTAATCTTTAATAAACATTGTTAAATGTAAACAATTTCGTGCATTTTAATCTTAATTAAAAAGTTAGAATTAAAATAAGTGCAACATCTAATAGTAATTTTTCCCAACTAATATTTACCTTTGCTGAATATAGTAATTTCCACGTTGGTGATGTAGTGTTCGTTCCAATTTGTGTAAGATTTAGGAAATAGGTATGAAAATTAACTATACGCTGAAAATATACAAAGCAAATTAAAAATGACAAAAATTAAAAAATTATAGAAAAAAAGAAAGTCTGGAAATCAAAAAAAAGCAAAACATTACGATTTAAAAATTTAAAAAATCTCGTAAAATTTTTTTCGCTAACAAACATAATTTATGCCAGGTTCAATTTCATAAATTCGAAAAGCTGGATTAAGATATTTGAATGTTGTCACGCTTGGTGTTGCATAAAGTATGCTAATTGGTTTCGATGAATCATCATTCATATTTTCGTAAAGTACTGTAAAACTGTCCACATGAATATGACCAAAAAATTGCGCTTGAATTGTTTTTGAAAATCTGAAAAAATTCAGCAAAAGAGAAGTTAAAATGCAATTTTGCACGAATAATAAATGAAGAAAATGAAGTGTAACAAATGGAAGAGATTTAAAAAATAAAAAAAAAACCAACTAATAAATAATTAAATAAATACTTAGCGGAAAAATATAAAATGGAAGTAATAAATGAGTAATAAACAAGTAAACAAAATATATGAAATAAACAAATAAACAAATGATCAAAATATAAATAAATAAATAAATAAATAACAAAACCTTGCTATAATCTTATAATAGTTTCTTGCCCAACTTTCGAGACATTCATTATCACCGGGTGGTATATGTGATAAAATATGTACATATTGGCCATCATGTTCAGATTGTTGAAGTTCCGTAACTAGCCAACTTAAAGTACCATCCGGATCCGTTTCATTAATACGCAACCAACTAAACCAATCAAAATTTTATCATCATGATAATGTAGAAATATTTGGCATTTAAATATAATCAAAGATTTATATTATATCAAATATAATGATATTATTAATTATCATTATTCGATAATCATAATTACAAGTAATTCTTTACACAGTAATATAAATATTTCTTGGATTTAAACAATGTATGAATATCATCGTATTTCATTATTACAATAATTTCAGAATTTGATGAATAATTTTTTTTTCATTGCAATTTTTATCATTCATGCTCTTATCAAAATGACTAGCATTATCACTACTATCACTATCATCATTATTATTGAACAAATCACATCTAATACATTTCTGAATTAATGTAGCGAATAAATTAATACTTACAAATTAGCAGTTTCACAATAAGCACTATTTAATGATATAAGTTTTAATCCTGGATAAAGTTGTACAGCGTAAGAGCCACGACTGAAATTTGTAATAATATTTTATTTTCTGTTTTTAAAGAAGGAAAAAATTTATTTTTTCAAATTGAAATCTTAAATTTTTAAATTTAAAACTTACTATTTGACACTCTCAATTGATTTTATATCAAGCAGCGATTTTTGCAATTGTAATAATTCATCGTATAACCATTGTGGACGATATTTTGCCGGGATATAATGCGGTGCAAAACTGTATATTTATAATTTTGTAATCTTTTTTTTAATTATTTATTCCATTTCTAATAATTCTCTTTCTTCCATACTTTCAATGTCACTCCAATTTATCAAATTCATATGTACTTTATCACGGAAATTAATTTTAATTCATTCATAAAAATTTCTTTATTTTCAATGTAAAATTTTAATTTTAAAAATATATTCATAAAAATTTCTTTATTTTCAATGTAAAATTTTAATTTTAAAAATATACACTAATTTATAATTATTAACAATAAAAATATTTTAGCAATGTAAGATAGAATTTGTTAATTAATTTTAAACTTTTTAGTATTTTCCACTACTTATTCTTGTATTAGCCAATTTTCATATTATTACCAAAAACTTTTTTAAATTTAAAAAAAACAAAAAGAAAGAAAGAAAGGAAACCTATCAACGGGAACACCCTCATGATTACCCAATGTCCAATAGATTGGGGTATTCTTAAAGTAATTGTGCAAAATTGTTGAAAGATTTCGAATCGTTTTTAAATGACTCACTTTGGTATATGTCCAATCCATATGTGACTCATAATCACCTCCAACTAATATATAATCAATCTGTAATTTGCCAATCATATTATTACATTATCACATCTTATTACAGCATAAAATATGTAATGAATTGATAACAAAATAAAACTATTATCATCGATAGAATAATAGTTAACGATAGAAAGAAAATAAGGAGAAATTATAATCAAGTTAAATATTATGTGATCATACTGATATCTGCAATACATTATATTATCAATAAAACATAAATATCATCAAATGTCTCGTAAATATTATCAATTAAAAACTAAGTTGACAGTTCAATATTCATCGAATATCACGGTAAATGCTACAGTATTGATTAAACATTAAATATTGATAATATCTGTTTAATATTAAATATTTAACATTTATTGAATATTACATTTAGAAAGTTAGATAATTCAAAAACAAATAAAAAGTTATATTCCAAATAATTAATAAATTAATAAAGAATAAAATCTTTTTTTTTGTTTTTTTTGCGTACTTCAAAAATGGAAAGAAAAAAGACAAAAATTATAATGAACGAAAGAATAATTTGATAATTATCATTTCGATATAATGAATTCACCATAATTAAATAACCTTTCCAAGTTTTTGGATATTCTGCAGCATATTTTCTACCGTCCGATATGGTATATCGCATACGGCAAGACTACCCCAATAACCGGATTGTTGCGTTATTGTTGATCCTGAAATTTATTGATATTCTTCAATTTCTATAGCAGTAAGTAATTAATTTATTTTTGACTAGAATTACTTTTTTGAAATTTACTTATTTGAAAAGAATACTTAAGACTATCATTAATGATCAAAAAAAATCTTAGCTGAAAAAGTTAATCAATTTACTTTTTCGAAAAGAATATTTGAGATTATCGTCAATGATCAGAAAAATTCTTAGCTGAAAATTATAACCATTTCATTTTCTCTTTCGGATTATCGATGAAAATAATTTAGCTAATAATTAATTTAATTTTTTGTACCATAAAATGGCAGTTTAAATGTTTGAAGTAAAATTTAAACTCATTTCTTCTTCAGCATTAATACAGAAATTACCATTTAATCCGGATTCCATATGACAACAAAGTTCACTGCTACAATTAGCTTCTGAACCTGAAGCATATTCTGGATCGACATGTAAATCGGTGATATGTAATACTCGTAAATTATCCTTTCTCATAGCCGGATAAGTCGGATATTTCTGATCTGAACTAATTAATATAATCCATAAAATATGAATACGTGTAACAAAAAACAACAAATTAATCAAATTTTGATAATAATTTAAAAATTTTGCAAAAATCCAAAAAAAAAGAAAAAGTAAGAATAAGATATAAGAGCAAGAAAAACACATATATCTATATTAATTATATTATATATTTGCCTATATTAATTACATTGAAGTTCCAGAATTTTTTTTTTTTGAAGTATAAACCTGGCCGTTTTGGTGGTAACGTAATATTCCACGATGATGTATCCATTCTTGAATAGGAACAATCATCCAGGAATATTGAACATAATGCATCAGGTTGTAGAATTAACTCTTCGATAACATATAGTAATTCTTCCTAAATTTAAAAAAAAAAAAGTGGAAAAAAAGAGGATTTCAATATTTTTGAAATTTGAAGAAATTAGTTGCATAAAATTTTGCGAAATTAAATTTCAATTTAAACCATGCAGTTTCAATTTGAATCAATTAAAATTAAAATTATACAGAAAAAGTAAACAAATTCAAAGCAAAGGATGTATGCCTGTATTAATAATCATAAAGTTAACTGATAATTATCATGGAATGTTTGTTAAAATCCAAAATACATACCTTACATTTAGTTGATAATTATTTTTAATTAGTAAAATTTGAATGGAGGAGGAAAAGAAAAGAGTAATACCCGAAATTGTTTAGCTAAACTATAGCATAATAATGAATCACGATGTACAAAGTATTGACAAATAAATGTTGCAATATCAATTAATGAATCTCGGGTTCGATTTTTCTCATACAATGACCTAAAAATTATTTATACAGGTTACAAAAGAAAATTTTTTAAGGTATTTAATTCCAGTTAATTCCAGTAAAGAAGTTTTTAATTAAATTTATTAAAATTTTTCTTCTATAATTAGTGCTTTACTATAAATTTTTTAATTATTATATTTTCGCTTTAATTGTCTTATTATCCAATTCATTAATGTTACTTTTTTAAGTTTTACATATTTTATTACGCAAATTTACTAATTGTCAATGTTACATTTGTTCTTTAAAATTTAGCCAAAAAGTGCTGGCATTACATTTCCTCAATTGTTATTATTTATTTGCTTAATTAATCTCTCCTCATTTTTAAAAATTTATTTTTCGGTACTAATAAAGTTTCCACTTTTAAAAGTTAAATTTTTAATCACAAATTATTGACCAAAAAAAAAGTTTTTGGTGAGTAAAAGTAATGAAAGAGAAGTGAGTAAAATAAAGCAAATAGAAATGAATAAAGAATGAGTAAAGTAAATGAGTAAAGATTTTAATAAGTAAAATAAATAGAAATTATCATAGAAAATATGGAATACCTGAAAAATATCACGGTCATTTTGCATGCTATACAAACCGCACCATCGGTATTTGATGCATTATTATAATTTTCCATTGCTTAAAAAAAATCAAGTATTTATTTTTCTAAAATCATTTTAAAAGTGATTCATGAACTAAATTTGGCAATAAATATTATAATATAATATGATAAATTTTAGCTACTTCCATGTTTAATAGTTAATAATATTTCAATTATCGATAAAATTTCAAATGAAATCAAAAATATTTAAATAAATGTCAATTGCCATTAAATGATATTTCGAACACTAATTAGTAAATAAACTAACTGCCAACCCATTTAAGCATTTTCTATAATTGTAAAATAATTGTTTTAATGGATAATTAAATATGTTGTCGTTTCGATATCAACAACTATTTGTTCACTTAATTATTTGTATTAATATCCTTCAATAAGTTCAACAGAAAAAAATTATTGCGCATTTCATATAAAAAAAATAAGCAATGATAATATATTCCATTTTGTATTTGATATTAGCAAAGAACAACGCCAACGCCATAACAACAACAATAACAACAACGACAACAACAACACAAAAACAGCAACAATAACAACAACGACAACAACAACACAAAAACAGCAACAATAACAACAACGACAACAACAACACAAAAACAGCAACAAAAACAACAACAAC